GACACCTACGTGTATATTAAGGTTATTTAGATTAGATAATAATAAAATCAAAATATTTTCACACATTTTAGAATCGGCCGTCTGATCCCAAACTAGGCAGAGCCTGTGCTATGGTAACCAGACTGCTGATAAACATACTTATATATTTCTAAATACATACTTATTATAGATAAATTACACCTAGACACAGAACAGAACAAATGACCGTGCTCACACAAATATTTTTCCTGGGTGGGAATCGAATCCACAACCTCTGGCAGTCAGGGTCAGCCCCTCCCTCCCCCAATGGGGTGCAATGCACTGAGGGGTTCCAGCCTCGGGCAAACCAAAATTGCATAAGCTCCGGTCAAGCCGACCCATACGTTTCGAAGCATGCCTCTCCCACTATCCAAGATTACCCCCTACCTATGTATGATATGATGAATATTCAATTTAAAGTTGAAAACAAAGCTTTAACTTAATAGGTAACCATGAAATAATCAAAACATAATAATAATAAGAATCCAGCCAAATTAATAACCAATTCGGAACATTTACGACCAAGAAAAGTGACTACATCAAAACCTAATTTGGAACGAGAAAGATTCTAGAAAATGTTATTAAATTTTATTGAGAATAAACTTATTATAGAATAGAAATAATTCTGTTACTGGAAAATTCCTGTCGACGTTTTATTCTTTTTTTGACTTAAGGAAAAAATATTTCTTCGTTCCTCATTCAATTACGGACGCTTCACAATATTTTTCTATTTAATTTTTATTTTCATTGTACTCTCCGGTCGCAATGGGACTTTTATTCGATTTGAAATGTTTTTATTATGTCTTCTTCTTTTATAAATGTGTTTCGATTGAAGACATTTAATCAAGAATAAGCTGGTAACTTACCTTCTAGAATAAATATAGACTTCAATCAGCATTAATTCATTTTATTAAATCATTTTCGTGTATTACAGGAACCCTATCAAAATCCAATCAATGTGTCATCTCCGTATGACATTTCTTAGTTTTAACTAGATGACATTAATATTTGGATCGGCTGGACCTTAGGCATTTATCTAAGACGGGCGTTAGCAATTTCCTATGTCAAATAGACTGGAGGCAAGGCACTCATTTAGTTTACTTAGACTATCCGACCGTCTTTCCGTCCATCGCACTCTGATTAATTTCTAAACGGATGCACACGTTAATATCTCGTATAAATTTGAAGACGGTTTTGCTTGTGACATGTTTAATGTTAGGTAAAAGTGTAGACATTCTCTTGGGTGGATATTATTTATAAATATATGTTGTAAAGTATACATAATCTGTAACAAAAACAAGCATAACGATATTTGAAGAACGTTTTAAAACTGACTGAATGATTTAGGTGTTTCTTTTTTTTTGGTGTAGTTACCCCGAAAACTCCTCATTGACCCCCGTCAATGGCAAAGTGCTCCTAAAAAAGAAACCCATGTGTACAATTTCTTGTCATTACGAATTACCTTTTGTAATAATGATGATGATGAGAAATTGTAGATACATCTCTTCCCTGGTGATGAAAGTTTAAAAAGTTATTTATGCATATACAATTCCTACGTAAATGCATTACTAATTTCACAATTTTTTAAATTAAAAGGCAACGAATATTATTGTTATCAGTAATGAAATACGTAAAAATTTGCAATCCACAAAACTATACATAGAGAAAAATTTATTTTAACTGAACAACCCTTTTGTCTATGCCATCAAACCATTTAAAACAATTTCAGTTGCAAGGGGAGGTGTTTACAGAAACAATTTGCTACCAATTTAGTTATAGCATTGTCACCGCACCCCACTACAAATTGTAATTGACTTGCATCATTGAACTTTCAAGTTATTGTTTTTTAACTCTATAACAGAACTTGAAATAACATCATACAAGTACATGTTAATGTATGTATTGTAAAATATTTTGTAGACAGAAAATAATGTAGAAAAAGGATAAAAGCAAAGTGAGATTTACGTAAAAAAAGTCTACGGCTATACAATATATATTATATGTACTATAATAAAATATTATATGAGAATAAATACTTTTTAATATAGGACGCAATTCTTAATGCGTCCATAAAAAATATAGATATTTGTTGATGTCAGTCACTAACAAAAACATACCTAATGCACAAGAAAATAAACATTTCCTAATGTAAAATTGACCTGTCAAATTTGCCGCCACAGCGCCATATTGTTTGACAAGGGCGTTACGTTACGCGTTAAAAAAGAGAAATAAATATAATGACATTAACATATTTTATCATATTATTACTTATAAAATTAAATTAGCTTTACCTAGATAATGACAAATATGAATACTAAAGGCACATTTTACCATTTTCTATTGTAGATAAATTAAAGGTGCCTGTCGTATTTCAATAGAAAAGTTGAGCTTAAGTAGTCTCAGTTTATTTTGAGAGAAAGATTATGATGATAATCTACCGTGTACAGTAAAACTTATTATTTACTATATTATTAACCCTACATTCACTGTTAGTTATATTGTAACAAATAACTGACAGTGAATCATCATGATGATGATGATGATTCACTGTTAGTTAGTCATAGGCCTCCTATTATTTTTTTTAAAGAAAGCTTTAAATTATTATAATCTATGTCGTGCAGGCTACTTTAAAAAATATATAAATCGTCTACGTTCAACCGCAACAGTAAGGTGAAGCCCTAGAAAATTGAGTTAATTTCGCCATTGAGCCGGGAATGAATTAGGATATGAAATTGTATAATTAAATAGCAATATTAATAAATCTGAAACAAAATTTTTTTTGATGAAGACAGAATACTTGTAGACATTATAAATGTACCTACAATATAATTACAAAAAATAAAAATAAAAACAAAACTTGTTTTTTAACATGTTTTAAATTTAAACTGTTCTTTTTTTATTCCGTTCTTTTTCTTGCTTTCTTCTCACTTCTTACAACTTTTATTAATTATAAAAGATTTTTCTACTTAATTACTGCTATAATTTTTATCAAAATCTGGTTACTATATACGTATAAACCGAATTTATAACGGTAAGACTACTAATTACAATATTCTATTTTGATCAAAAAATCATAAGAATGTGCGATTTTCTACTCGTACTATTGTGACCGTTGAAAATAGTCCTAGCTCCTTCTATGCTTATTAGCTTCTTGACACCACCCCATGTTTCAAGGCCACTAATAAATACAATTTGCTGTCAGTGTGCTACTAGGACTTTTCCTGAGTTTATTGATTTGACACCCTTTCAGACGTTTGGGTGAACTAATCTATTGGGTATGAATGCAATACGAAAAATTATAAGATTACAATTTAATTATTAACTAATCATTTAATCTTCAATTAATAAATTAGAATAAGTGTCTTGAAACTTATTTCTTGCCATGTATCATCTTTACATAATCTTCTCGATATATTTGGTTTCATCATATACCTACTAGTTTCAAGTTTTTCGAGTCGTTGTTTTTACGATGCACACTTCAAAAAATTGTCTTTTGTCTTTATACATTTATAAGCAATATAATAAAAAAAACATATAAATTTTGCAAATAATAATAATGTCACCCAACTTGTAACAATTTTATCTTTTATTTATTGACTTATCGAATGACAAAATAATAATCTTCAGAGTTTCCTCTATGTTTGTAAAATTTATAATATCATTTGCCGGCTATTTCGTAAACTATTTCAAGATACTATTTTTTACATTATTATCTTGAAATAACGTTTAACTAGTTTTAAATAGTTACAATTTTGTAAAATCAATTGATAACCTAAATATTTTTCGCCAAATCAGAGACATCTGCCTTGGGCCAAATTTGTTTCCAAAATCAATTTTAATGTTGAAAGTAAATTTGTTTTTGACATCAAAAACTCTAGGCATAAGGTTCACAAGAAAGTCAATCAAAACTATTTTAATTATACTAGCGCTAAACAAACGCAGAGCCCTTAAATTTTAATGTTTATTTTTCATTTACTTAGTTGTCAGATCTGTCTCAACTTTGCAGACTTAAAGCCAACTTGTTTTCAAAACAAACATTGTTGTGTGTTTAAATAATGTTTAATGGATTGAGCTGGTTTATATATTATTATATATATATATATATATATTATTTATACCTATATATTACCTGGGTTATATACACAGATACTATTTTTTATTACTCACATTATACGAAAATTATCAATAACAAATAGCGTACATTCATTTATTTATTAGTTAGTGCTAAGCTTTCGTAACTGGGCTTAGTTAACGTGAGTTAACATTATTGTCTTCAGAATATAGTTTTATTACACTTCTTACCTCAAATTTATTTATTTAAATTCAACCAATTGCAGGTATTTATGGAATTGTCAGAAGTAAGTCAGTCCTAAAGTAGAACAGGCGGGTCAATACGTATATCCTATAGCAAAGAACTCCCAATACACCTTTTATCAATAAGTTTTTTTTAAACTTTGTTTGTTACTAACTGTGTAAATTAAATGTGAAAACAATGTAACATTTTGTTGTTCTAAAATATAAAAAATCGGTCAAAATTACCACTATAAAGGTATATTACTACTTAATACACATACCTACACATAAATAGTTATAAATGACTGCTTGTTGATACATTGAAATTATTACGTAAAATCGTTAATTCGATAATTCCTACGCAATATCCTTCATATTAGTGTGCTTACTTCACATGTCATTGACGTTCAAAGGCTGCAATAGTCTGCCAAAAGGATGGCATCAAGTAAACGTTTCAAAATAATCACATCACATCTGATCCGTAGACAAACATCAAAGCAACGCGCCAGACACTAGCACAAGAACCGTTTGTTAACACAATCAATGAAGACGTTCCCAACTCAAACCAGCTTCAAAGTACACAAGCTACTTTATAATTGCACACACGATCAAAATTTACTATAAACCATACGATTTCGGTATATCCAGCATAGCTCAACACTCACGTTAATAAAATCAGTCAGTTTAACATGACCTTCCGTGCCCCTCTAAATAACACAAATTTAGATACTGCAGATGCAATGAAAGCGGCGTTTAGAGATCTGACAACAGTGGACAACTTAGTACATGATCCGGCGGACACCTTAAGTCCAAAGGAGGCAGTGATTGCAATTAGTACAATTAGTAGAAGCCAATTAGGTGCTTTAACGAAGCGAGTTTCGTAACTAGTCGAGAGTTTGGGTGACAAATAGGTACTACGTTTGACATCTGACCCGAGATCTCAATCAGACAGTGATACTGTTTGTAAGCTGTATTTGTATTTTGGATTCAGTAGCACCTATTTACAAGGGCAAATAGGCATCCAAGTGAAAATTACTATTTTAATTTAACACTTTTAATGGATATTTCTTTAAATTACTTCTTAAAATTTTATGCGACGATTCGGGTATAGATAGTATAACTCTTGTCATCCACATTTATAATAGTATACGTTTTCTTTTCAGAAACATGTCATCTAAACGAAAGTCACCACCGTCAAAATTGCAAGAAGGTGCTGCCGACACAGAGAAGCCTGAGGCCGGACCAGCCAACCTGGACTTTCCGGACCATCAGGAATCAGACGACAACGAACAACACAGCTTTTACAAATTCTCACCAAGTTCATCCACCAGGAGTTCTATTAGTGAAGAGGAAACGAATTACGAAGACGAACGACCCTCAAAAAAGCAACGATTTGAACAAACATTAGACATGACAAATAATCTTCTAGTCCCAACATCTTTCTTAAGTCTACATCAAGTCAATGACCTTCAGGCACGAAGACGTGGCTCATCAGAATGCAGTAGTCCAGGAGCTGAAGCGAAAGTTTTGGGACTGTGTAACAATAACAATTCATTGCTGAACCATAACAGCGCGTTGTCGTTGAATGCGCCCCATAAAAGGTCTATGGACGACGTTCTTAAAAGATTAACGTCCAAAATGAATAACAGTACGATTAAGGAGGAGAAGAGACCGACGCCTTCAACAACGCCCGTCAAACAAAACAAGTAAGTAAATCATAGAATAGACATTATCTAAAATTAACTACATGAGTAAATATACTCGTATTATGTCTAATTGAATTTGAACTGAAAATCATTCTTTTTAAAAATTGGTGTTGTCATAAGACAAGCATATAAGACGATTTGATGAAGAGATTGATGATGATGATGATAAAACAAAGACAAAAATTAAAATTTGGTCATGTTTTCCATTTAAGCATAGCCAACTACCGCGTATTTTAAGATATATTCTCAAAAATCTTTCGGTATTGACAAGATAAAATCATATATTCTTTTATTTTGTGTCAAATAATCAAGGTTTCTTTATCTGTCTGCCTACAAAGGCTAAATAATTACGACCGACTTTTAGTCTAACCTAACTAATCTTATTATCATTAAAATTATATGTGTTGTAACCATTTTGTTATCATTTTCTCTCCCTGTCTAGCCAAGATACTGTTAAATGAACAATAGTTCGTCCTCTGTCTATTACTGTTCGCACTTCATTATCCTAGGGTCTGTCATCAGCACTAATTAATCAGATCACCTTCCGATTATTGGCAGTTTCCTACACTCATTTATCAACTGTTTAGTTTCAGTGTTTACAAAGAGATACGGAAATCATCATTATTATGTGACGATAAATTATTATTAATCTCTTTCATGATAAAGTTATTATGTTGAGAGTTTATTTTAAGTACTGAGTTTATTTCCTAGGTCTAGTTTCTAACACTTTTTTTCCATTGTGTGACGTCATAAATTTTGCAATTCTGTGTCTGTTTTGAATAAAATAAAACAAAGCAAAACCTACTTAAAGAAAGATAAATGATAAATTTTATTATTACTTAAAGATCTACTACAGAGTTATCTTGTGACGTGGGAGTGGAGTCAATATGCAGTGACGTCACGCGTCACGTTTTCACCACTCCCTTAGTCAACGTGTGACATAAGTTATGGAAGCTCCCTTACAGGTAAAGACATAAATAACAGATATAATAACATTAATGTAGCGTTACTCTGCACGAACAACAAAAATAAAACGGCCGAAGACCATTTCAAGCTAGTCGTTTACTAGAATTTAATTGGCCATATTACAGCACATTAAAAACAATGTTAGGGCCACCGCATTTCAGTATAAAGCTTTAAACGCGTGTTTAACTATGCCTTTATGGATATTTACGATAGATGTATGTCCACTGAATTCGGATGTGGGAATCGTAAAGTACTAAGTTGCCTCTGTACTTTAAAATATTCAATGGATGCTTTGTAATTGTTTTAAGCCAACATTTGAAGATATTTGAATGGAGAATCTTACCGAAAAAAACGCAAATTACTATACTTCACGGAAGTAAATATTCGTGTTTGTTTGTGTATTCGTTTAATGATTTCTTTTCGTAACTAATTATTTACAAAGATAGCACAAAGATAAACTGACATTAGCGGTCAAGCGGTTACATAATAAATAATAATGAAACAAATTTTCAAATTAATGGTTGATTGGATTTATTGATAGGTAAATCACAAGTTAAAAGCCTATAAAAGTACCTAATGTGTTGATAAAAAAAGAAAGATTATCTCTGAAAGTAAATTTTATAGAATTACTAACCAGCTAGATTTCATAATTATTCTCTATCACCTTTACATTGAAACCAAATATACTTTTATTTAAGTTTACATATAAATTATCGATGCAAGAATTAAAAACCTGTAATACCTTTAAAAGTGTTAATTAAAACATTTCAAATATACCAGTTCCATAGACAAAAAAGTGCGCCTTCAAGATGGCGTCAAGGCGTATGACAGACCACCCATAGACACTACTAAACTACAAAATCTTAACTCACAGTTTCATGGTTAATACTACTAATATATTTAACATGACTTTAAGTAACCGAAGAGCTATTTACAGACTATAACATTAATGGTGAACAGGAGTAAGCAGTAATTAAATTTAAATATTTATAGTGGCTACTAGGCATTTGTGAGCGTAGAGAAAGATAGTGGACGGTTTCGCATGACTTGATCAGCATAAGTGTTTCTTATTAGTAAAACTTTAAGGTCTAGTTTCCTACAGACTTTTCGTTTTTTATTGCCTTAGTGTGTCAATTATTTATCTACGTGGGGTTACTTTAAAAAATGCATTAATTTTGTTAATAACCGAATGGTTCTTAAAGTGATATATTTTTATAATACCTAATTGGAATACTAAAATTTAAATTAATTGTTGTACAGAGATAATCCTAGATGATCCAGGTATTCTAAACATTCGGACAATGTTTCAGATGTTAACGAATACCTAGATATTATTTATATCTAGTGTTTAAAAATCTACTTAGACTATTTTTATTAAATGTTAACATACAATGAACACAAGCAATTTCAAAGAGATGTAAATTTTAAGTAACTGGAAAATCTCTAATACTTACAATATTGTAACGTATATAAAAATAAAATAAAGGTAACGGAAGATAAGAGGCAGGTATTGCTTATTGAAATGGATTAGGAAGTGTAGGTAAACTCGAAAATACTCTCGGACTTAGCCTTTGCTAAATAAAGTAAAGTAAGTCCTCAGTTTTTATGGTTAGCCTTATCGAAGCTTATCGAAGCTCGTCTACATTAAAACATTACTCCGTCGTAAAACGCCATATTAGTAGCAGTCATAACATATAAGACTACACAATACGGGACCGCTGCGCGAAACAATAATTACCGCGTCTAATATGCATATGTACATACAAACTCTCCGATTATGCAATTGTGGATGGATAACAATGACTTCTGGTGCTGCTCATACATTTTCATTAAAATTCCAAAGGTTTAGTGCAATAAACACATCATCGATACAAGGAATTAGTATCTTTGGTGTGTTCATTTAGAAACAATGTCATTTTTAATATTATCATCACTAATGTACGTGAATAAGACTTTAAATGAGATTTGGTCTTTTATTTTTCAGTGATTGTTCATAATTTGTAGCATTCTTATGTTGAAAAACTTCTGTTGTATAGAATCATCATCACCATCAACGTCCACTGCTGAACATAGCCTCTCCTTAGAAAGCAGGTTTTGGCCTACTATACCACGCTGGCCAGACGGGTTGGTATAGGGTTTGTGTCAAGTTTTCCTTCTCTCTGCAGTGCTGTAGTTCTGGTTCTGGGTTCTAGAATACATTAGGTATAACTGTCACCTAAAACTGGGTATTTTTTGAGCGTAAATTTAGAGATACAGATTTAGAATCAGCTATATTTTACTTTCATCTATTGCAGCGAAATAATAAAAGACTGATGTTTTATCTTTATTAAAATTATTCATAGTGATTTTAATACTATTTACTTTAGCTATCAACGATGTATTTATTATTAAAGTTGATTACTTTTTCTTAAAACCTATAAGGTAAAGGTTAATTCCTTTTTACACTAAAAAACTTACAAAACTCAGATTGTTGTGGGATCACCGAGGTCATGTTACCGTCATAATTCATCTTCACAGCTTCGTTAAATAGCTAATTGACTTTTATTGTTAAAATATTCTAGCAATAAAAATGTTTAAGCCGAAATGATTGTCATTTTTACAAACATACTCCAATAAACAAATTATCATATTGACTCTGTGAAATCAGAATAGCCGTTAGATAGATATAAAAAGATAGAGTTAAAATAATATTTGTTTGTTTAATGGTAGTTATTAAAATATATATTTAAATAGGTGGTCACATCTCGTAGATGTTAATATTGAATCCAAAGACATTGAACCTACAAATACCTATGAATACTGCAATGGAATTCTGTCAAGGTAACATTTTCTCCTTCATTATTTTACGTTCAACAATAATAATATTATTGAACGTACAAATACCTATGAATACTGCAATGGAATCCTGTCAAGGTAGAATTTTCTCCTTCGCAAATGATAGTATTAATACCAGATTTCATCGTTCTATGAAGCCAAGAATTCAAAATTTGTGGAGATGTTGGGAGGCTCAATAAGAAACATACACTCGAGATCACTGCATCTGAATACGTAAACGTACGTAGCTTTGGAGTTCGTACCTTCAATCATTCAATAATCAATCTTATTATAGATTAGTCTCAATAATAGAAGATAATTATAACAGAGGTTAAGGAGATGTCAAGCGTGATCTATGTCAATATTTACGTGGTTTATCAGTGCGTCTGTTATCATAATAGCTTTTGTTGATAGCACCGATTGTATTCGCGGATATGTTTAGTTACTAACATACACATTGTGGATGTTTTGCAAACAACGCGTTAGATATATATTTCGATAAACTTTGACCGAATTACAAATTCCAAACTGAATTAAATATGCCCGACCGAATTACATATACCCGACCGTATTATATATTACCGATCGCATTATATATTTCCGACCAAATTACAAAGTTCCAACAGTAACACAAATTACCGACCGAATTACAAATGACTGACATTAATAAATATTCCTGACTGAATTGCATATTACCGAATCAAAAATTAGATACCGAGTTGCAAGGTTGCAAATACATACTATATGCCTGACCGAATTATTTATTTCCCATTGAATAATATATTCCATACCGAATTAATTACGTAATCATAACTTGCCTGGCCTTTGCCAGATTTTATTTGGGATCGGCGCAATGTGTGCCTAACATTGCCAAAAGTTCTGGTAGGTTACTTTTATGGCCATCGCCTACCTGGTGCTAACTCTCCTTGAAAATTTATTGAATTCCAGATGGAGACAGAAGAGCAATCTTTTCTCTATATTGTGTATTTAAAGCAAAAGTATATAAGTATTCTATCAGTCAATCTAGTTTTCATAGCACAAGCTCTGCTTAGTTTGAAACTAGATTGCATTGTGTGTCATGTGCATTATTATTGTTGTATTCTGAATGCTAGAAATTTTCAAGAACACTCAGAGTTTGGAAACACCGATCTCGTACCAGAAGAAACTCACTGAAGATAATAATTTCTGTGCTTGGTTCTAACCTCAAATTACTCTACCGG